ATAGGGAGTTTCAGGCCAGCCAAGGCTACATAGTGAGAGACCTTGTCTCAAACAGAAAACAAACAGACAAAGACACAACCTCCCTAAAACAAAACATAACAAAAAAGCAAACCAACACAGAGAAAGAGTTTGGCCCTGTGTAAGAGGGAGAGCTGGGCAGCAGGCTGGTCATCCCATCCACGTGAGGCAAGGGATGTGGGGTTTCTGTGGGGCCTGGACCAGGCTGGATTTGCATGGAATACTATTTATTTCCTGGAGAGAGGGTGCTCAGGATGTGTGTGTGGAGGATAGTAACCTGACACAGACACAACTTGTGAGAAGTCTGTAGGTGAGGTGATGCTCCCAAGGGCACACCTCAGAGGGTATCTTAACCAAGAGACATCCAGTGTCTCAGGATGTAGGGTCATATTGCATATCTTCCAGGTGTGGATTCAGAAGTGGGGCACTCTGGAGAATTGAGTGATATATCTGTTTTAGAGGGGTAGGAATGGGAGTCTCCAAGAAGCGTGGATGGAAAACAGATTTCTCCCTTACATAGGAATAGGATTCACAGTGGGCATAACCTCACCAAGTACGAAAGAGACGGGGATGAGGCTGGCATACTGGTCGCAGTATATGACAAGCTTCTCAAAGTATCGCTTCTGCTCTTCTGCCAGTAAGAAGCTGCGGGGTAGGGAATGCAGTAGTACAGGTCTCCCCTCCACTCCCAGTCCCTTCCACAGGGCTCAGCTCCCCAGCCCGGACTCCAGCTCTTCTCACCGATAGGCGGCGCTTAGTGCCATGTAAAGTCCCAGGAAACACAGCAGCTCTCGCCACAGGAGCTTGTAGATGCTTCCGCGCCACAGCAGCAGCAGCTGAGAGAAGCCACCAAAGCGGGCATTCGCCACTCGGGCTGTGTAGGTGACGGTCATCGCTGCGCCTGGCCAGTGTGGCCAATAGAGAAGGGTTAGCCTGGGTCTGGGCCTGTGAGCAAAGGGAAAATGCTGGGAGGGGCTGATCCTGGAAATTTCAGTTGAAGGTGGAGGTGCCAGTGGACATCGCAGCAGGTGATTTTCAGTGCCTCAGGACCCTAAGCTTCGTAGCCCTAGGGCGGTCTCCACTCACGCCATGTTATCACCCCACCCACCCCTCAATCTCCCGGGCCCTGGCTCTTTCTCGAGTCTCCCAATCTTGCTGTCTTCCTCCTGTAGATTACTGGTCCAGACTACTGGACTTTACTTAGGTCTCTCACTTCCTAAAGCTTTGGCTGAATCTAGTCACTTTTGACTTCCCTTCCCCACACCCCTCCTATCCTTTTCACCTGTACAACAATCAATCTTCTTGACTTCCTGAGTCTTCAGTTTCTAATTCTCAGAGTTCAACATCTCCCACATACTTGTTCACTCTCCCAAGTTCGGTTTTCTCTCTATCCTCTCTTGAGACTACAGTCTGCCCCCACAGAACTACTAACCCCCTCATATTCAGAACTGCTCAGAATGATGTCTCTAAAGTTCCTGGTCCCCAGTCTGCCTCTTTTCCTCCCGATAGGAACCAGCTCACCCCAATTCCCACTTAATCCTCCAGTTCTGACACCTCCAGTCCTTCAGATCCTCCTTTAACTTTCTTCCTTTTTTGCTGCCCCTTCTAGCTCTCTACGCTGCCCCCCAGGAGTCCTGCCCAAAGCCCACCAGCCCAAGGACATTTATTCTCCCAGGCCTGGTCCTTCTCACCTGTGGCAGTACAGGGACACAAGGGACAGAGACTGAATGGGAGGGTGTCTTCAGTATTGGGTGGGGCTGAAGCCAGACTGTTTGGGAAGGAGCTGGGGAGTGGGCGTGGGCAGCCTCTCCCAAGTCCATCCCCTTTAGTTGAGTTACAGCCTTAGAACTTTGTTTGGAGAAGGTCTGCCAGTTTGTCTTCTGGGCAGGGGTGTGGGGCTGGGTGGGGTAGTGGTGTGTGTGTGTGTGTGTGTGTGTATGTGTGTGTGTGGTCTGCCTTGTACTTTCTTGCTCCTCTTTGTCTCCCTCCCTCCTAGGGAGAAGGTCCAAGGTATCTGGAACCTAGAACAGGAAGAGGGAAGGAGAAGCGCGCGCACACACACACACACACACAAACATACACAGACAGGCAGACAGGCACAGACAGACAGACAGACAGACAGACAGACACACACACACACAGAGCCCAGCAAGACTGGTCACCTTTCAGCTGTGATCACAAGCTGTCACAAAGATGTACATTTAGCCTCCCTCAGTGGCAATCTACATGGTCACAGAGACTTTCAAGGTCAGCCAGGTATGCTAGCAGCTAAGACAGGAGGACTGCCATGAGTTCCAGGCTATCCTGGGCTACAGAAGGAGGAGACAGAGTCTCAAAAATCCAATAGATGAAGAGGTGGCTAAGTGGTTAAGTATATATTATGTCTGTAGAGTTTGTCCCCCACACCCAGTCTGGTAGCTCACAACCACCTTAAACTTCAGCTGCAGAACCCAAAGGCACCTGTACTTAAGTGCACATATAGACATACATGAAAAAGTAGGGCTGGAGATATGGGGTTAAGAACTTACACTGCCTTTTCTTTCTTTCTTTTTCTTTCTCTCTCTCTCTTTCTCTCTCTCTTTCTTTTTGGTTTTTCAAGACAGGGTTTCTCTGTGTAGCCCTGGCTGTCCTGGAACTCACTCTGTAGACCAGGCTGGTCACGAACTCAGAAATCCACCTGCCTCTGCCTCTTGAGCGCATCATCACTACCCAGCTTGAAATAAATAATTTTTTAAAAAACTCAATAAAGAAAGGAAGTCAAAGACACCTCCAAACTCACAGGATAAATGTGGGGGCACCTCCCTCAACATAGTGGAACAGACCTAGGGTCAGAGGAGGAACTTGAGGGCTCCTGACATTTGCCAACGTAGTGAAGACACATTTGCAAGGGCTATCGGTGGAGCTTAAAGGCAACAGACTTGCCAAGCATTTGTAAGGTCCTGGGCGCCGTCCCTAGAATGGCAGGGGTGACAACAAGGACCCTTACTACAACTCCATCAACTAAAACCCCAGGAACATCCATGCATTTGTACATTAATATATTGAGGCAGGCATGGTGACACATGCCCATAGTTCAAGCATTTGGGAGGCTGGGCACTCAAGGACAACCTAGTCTGGCCCTGTCTAAAATTTAAAAAAGGGAGAGAACTTTTCTCAATGCTTTCTCTGTTATGTGCTGTTATATGCTGTATGCAAAAAACCATCCAGACATACTCTTATGTCTCATACTCATTAATGCCCTGAACACACAACCAGGGACACAAATCCTTGTCCCTATGTTTGGCACTGATTTGAGGTAGATGTTTTCTCTTCAGAGACTTGCCAACGGGAGGGCCACTCACAGCCTGGCACCAAGAGCACTCCCTCTGCCACCTCCAACCTTAAGGATGCCTACAAATACACAGGCATGAGGGGGCAGAGGCTCTGGTAGGGACACTCTAAGGTCCCCATGCATTTCTTGCTATCTACCTGCTGAGCAACAGAGTAGGAATCGCCCAATGTAGCACCACCCGGAGGCCCATCTGGGCAGGACGAAGTGTTCCCAGGCTGGCAGATGTCTGCCCCACCCAGGTAAATTAGGAACCAGCTTGGGCTGGCTACTCTTGGACCCATATCTCCGCTGTCCAGCTGCCCAGCAGCCTATAAACTTCAGCAACAAAGGCCACTGGCTGGGGTGACATTGGCAGCTGTAGGACCTGGGCACTGGACAGGCTGTTCTTGCCTGTCCTGACTCCTTGGTACGTGTCCTTGAGCTCCCTGCACCTCATCCCTTCTCCCCCAGCACACACATCCCCACACGGTTCTCCATCCCCAGCTGGGCTGGAGGGCAGGCTGCCTGATTCACATGCCTTCACTACAATAGCACATGACTCTTACCGAGGTCTGAGCGGGGTGCTGGAGAAAAAAAAACCCTACATATTTCATCAGCAAGGGAGATGGCTCCTGTATTCCTACTAGCCAAAAAGGAAAACCACAGCTCTGGTGACAAACAATTGAAAAGCTAGGATCTGAACCCAGGCGATACGGGCTTGATGTCTGTGGTCCTTCCCTATAGCTGCCCATATCTGTTCACAATTGCCACCTTAACAAGCCCATACCAGCTCGCACACACCCTGAGTCCAGTGGGAGGACAAGTCTAAGCTCGCGTATGGGTTCCCCTTACATTCGTTCCCTGGCATGCCTAGACCCTGAGTGTACCGGGGACACCTCCTGAGTCATGTATGTCTCCAAACACCCCTTTTTTGTCCCCTTGCACCAAGCATCTGTGGCTTGAAACTTGAAGACACTCCAAAGTCATGCTTTAGTTTGTCTCCGAGGTGTCTGTGATGCAGAGGACTGGAGATACGGATCTAGGAGCCTTTCCCAAGGGTTCTAAGTCTGAGAATTCCTACCGTGCTCAGGCCCCAATCTTAAGGGCCGAGGGAATAAAGCTTAAACAGTGGGAGGCCTGCACTGAGGGACCTCAGGAAGCCTTCTCTGGAGGCAGGTCCAGCCTTAAGGGGAGCCCCAGCATCTGCTGCCATTCTGTCAGACCTCATCGGTCTCCCCCCAGGAAGGGCTGAAGCATCCCACTGAGGCAGGAACTAGGGGCGTGTACAGATCCTTAATCCCCAGTCTGGCAGGCCCAGCCTCTGCCCAGGGCGCCCACTAATTCCCAAACTAAACAGCAGGTGGTGTTGGGCCCACTGCCTGCTTAATCCGTTCCCTACCAGCCTGGGGCTGGCCATGGGGCCTAAAGATTCCCACACTCGTGAGTCTGTAGGAAGGGAGCAAATGCTTCCATTACAGGTGTTACAGCCCTAGGATGTCTTCAGACCAGGCTTCTTACTGAAGACAGCCTCTTTCCACAACTGTCACCAAACCATGCATGCTTGCTATGAACTGATCTGTGTGAGAGAGACGGGGATAAACCCGTGTGCAGTGTACAATCTCTGGAGCCGCACACAAGTGCTTACTCACCCACCCCTCCATTGGCAAACACAGTTGTTTAAGATCATTTTATTGAGGAGTGTGAGGCAGGAGGAGGTGGGGGGCATTGCAGCCTCCCCAGGCCCCACCAGGGGGAACAGACCCCCTCCCACCTCCTAAGTGGATCCCCCTGCATTATGGGGGACTTTGTGCAAACTCTGCCCCATGGGAAAGAGGAGGGTATGAAGTGGCAGTAGCTGGGATGGGGGTGGCTACTGGGTGCTGGGGGGCTTGTAGGGCTCCAGGAGGAGGGCAGAGAAGGTGTTGACTTTGTCGGCTCCCCGCACCTCATGAGGTAACAGTGGCAGCTTTACAATGTGAAAGTCTTCATATAGGTCTTCCATCTGGAACCAGGTCAGAGAGCAGAAAACAGAGATTGAGGGCAGAGGGACTTACAAGGGGTGGGAGTTTAGGGCAGAAGCTTCCTTTTTTTTTTTTTTCTTTTTTCGAGACAGGGTTTCTCTGTGTAGCTCTGGCTGTCCTGGAACTTACTCTGTAGGCCAGGCTGGCCTCAAACTCAGAAATTCGCCTGCCTCTGCCTCCCAAGTGCTGGGATTAAAGGCGTGTGCCACCACTGCCCAGCAGGGCAGAAGCTTCTTGGTAAGGTAAGTGGGACTAGCAAATCCAGGGATGGTCTGGGTGTCATGTATCCCAGTCCAGCCCCAGTCCTCTGAATACAGGACACACGCGCGCGCGCACACACATGCATATTAGGCAAGCATTCTCTACTGAGCTGCAGCCCCAGCCCTTAGAGAACACAGTAAAAGACACGGAACTTTAGGTTGGACAGGTGGGCATACCTGGTCCAAGTATTTGGCCTGGATCTTGTGTCGAGCCTCACACATCTTGCAGGGTTTTTCAGGGTCAGGGAAGACAAGCTGGTTGACAATGATGTTGTGGGTGTCAATCTTGCACTTAGCCAGCTCCTGAATCAGCCGCTCCGTCTCATATAAGGACAAGAATTCAGCGATGCACACACAGATGAAGGTTGTCTGTTCCTGTAGGGCACAAGACAGGAGTGAGGGACAGGATCTGGCTGATCCCATCCTCAGGAGTCTCTCACCGCCTGCCGAATCAGATCATAACTCACAGGGTCCTTGAACTGTTCGCTAACGGATCGGATGACAGGCAATGTCTCTTCTAGCTTGGAGGCCAACTGGTCAGCATTCATGTCCCCCAGACCCAGCATGTTGCACATCTGTAGGTAGGAGGGAATAGGCTTGCCACCTTCCTGGGACCATCAGACCCTCAGCCAGGGGCTTACTGAATACTGTAGCATCTCCATAAAGGGTGTGGGCCCTGGGGCCAATGCATGGGGTATGTCTGTGTAGTTTTAGCTCTCCCATTTTGTGGGCAAACATGGCCACAGTATCTGACCTCCTGAATTCTTAGTTTTCCCATCTTCATGCCTTACCTCTGAGAGCTGCTGTGCTTTCTGAGCTGTCATGTGTTTTATTACACATTGGTGCTAGGCACTTAGCAGATGCTCAGCAGACATTGCTATCCGAGGGTGGAGGAAGGAACATGCATCACACGCAAGCTCTAAGGTGGACACGGGGACGGGCAAGGGTCACAGTAAAGATGGCTCACAGAGCCATTTCTGTGTCCTCCATTTTCTTTGTACATGTGCTGTTGAAGTGAGCACCACAGCTGACACAGAAGGAAAGACCCGAGAGGTGAAAAGGTTTACTTGGGGGGCACACAGAGGTGATGTGGAGGGAGGGAGGGAGGTGCCTCTTGCTCTGTTCCAAAGAACAAAGTTCTGGTTAGGACACTGAGAGCAGGAGGGTGTGGCACCTGCCTGTGAGATGAAGGGGCTGATCTGGTTCTTGATCTGCATCAGGCGGCCCAGGCCCCGCTCCACGATGGTGGGGAAGTTCAGGAGCCTGAGCGTATGGCCGGTGGGTGCGGTGTCGAACACTACCACTGAGAAGTTCATGCCTTTCACCAGCCTGGGAGGAGATGAAGGTCAGGCTCACACCAGAGGCCAGAGGCCCTCCCAGGGCAGGCAGGCACCCCCCACCCCCAATCCGTGCCAGGCTGACCTCATGACCTCAGCATAACTCATGGCCTCATCGATGCCAGGGAAGGCGCTCATGGCCTCCTGCATCATCTTCTTGCCCATGCTCAACATGTTGTCTTCCTCGAAGAACTCGTCGGGGAGCTCTGCAACGCCCAGGCTGGGGTCTATCTCCTGGGGGCCGAGGGGACCAGACTCAGGCTGCTGCGATGACGGACTCCCAGAGGGGGCCTCAACTCCTAGGTGCAGGCCAGAGGAAGCCCATGTAGGGCTCCAGCCACATAGGATCCCGGGTCTGTCCCATCAATGGTTTAACCTTCACAATCAAGTAAGAAATTGCAAACTTGGACTAGGGGAGGCCCCAAAGACAAGCTGAAACCCAAACCCACTGCAGGAATTTGCAAAAGCAACCCAAAATTTGCTTTCTCAATAAACAACCACAGGTAGCTCCAACCACTTTCAGATTATGTCTCTAATGTGGGTCATCTTTAAATACGATTCTTTAATTTTTAAAACAAGATCATTATGTAGCCGAGGCTGGCCATCCTCAGTCTCCTCAGCGTTGGGATGACAGGCGTGTTCCATAGGCTCGCTGGCCTCCGTCATTCTGTAGGTCACCTTACCTATCTTCTGTAGGACCCTTGTTTTCTCTCCCTGGCCACCTGCTCTCCCTCTTGGGCGGTATTCTCTATTTTGAGGGGTTGGGGGAAGGGGTTGCAGATGGAACCCAGGGCTTTATACAGGCTAGGCCAGTGCTCCTTCAAGTTATGCCCCTAGCCACTCACTGGGAGATTCTAAGCAGGTGCTCTACCACTGAGCAATTCCTAAGCCGCTTAATGGCAACTACCTTCTAGCCGGGCACCTGACCCCGTGACCCCAGTCTCTGACTATCAGATTTAATAAGAGCTCTACTACTGAGATACAGCGCCAGCCTCAGGCTGATCACAGCTCCAGTCTAGGCTACATGGTTGCTTCTGCCAGTTCTCCTTCACTGGTGTAGGCAGTCTCCCCATTCTGCTTATCCATAGCTACTTGGTATTGCTGTTTTGGGGGCAAAACCAGACCCCAATAGTCATACCTGCCCCCAACTACTAATGACAGATCTGCAATGGATGCGTATTCTCACAAATGTCTGTGTGCTGCCTGTCTCATTCCTCCTCAAATATCTCCTGTCTCATTCATTGTGGAAGTCCTAGCCTTTTTAAGAAAGGGAAGCCCCTGACTGGGCCTGGGGAAGCCCCTGGTTGGGCCTGGTGGTACAGGCTTTAACCCCAACAATTCAGCAGAACGAGGCAGGAAGGTTGCAAATTTTGCCAAAGTGAGCTCAAAGCGGGCTGTAAACTTAGTGAGACTCAGACCAATAAACAAAAACCACAAATGAGAATGCAATGGGTTAGGCCAGGTGGCAGTGGCACACACCTTTAGTCCCAGGGCTTGGAAGGCAGGGCAGGCAGATCTCTATGAATTCCAGGGCAGCCTGGTTTATAGAGTGATTTCTAGGATAGCCAGGGCTACACAGAGAGATCCTGTCTTGAAAAACCAAAACCAAAACCAAAACCAAAGCAAACCAAAAACCTTTAACAGGTCAGTAAGATGGCTCAGCAAGTAAAGAAACTCAATCCATGACAGACATGTGTTCTATTCTGGAACCCACAGAAAGAGAGGAAGAGCAGTCACACGCAAGAATAACAGAGAAAGTATAAAGGGCTGAGTTCAGTGGTGAGCCTGGCACAATATGCACCAGGCCCTGCCTTCCATCCCTATTCCTGGAAAACAGGTTGAGGAAAAAGATGAGGTTGTAACACCTCATCTGCCCCAGGAAACACCCCCAGTTCTACATACTTCCTTCTGATTTCCACCCTTGGCAGAACCTAAGCCCTGGTTCTGTGTGCTAGACAGAGCTCAACCTTCAAGAACTGTCCCCCACCCCCTCTCCCTGCTAGCAAGTTCTAGGAGCAATCAAATATGTATATCATCTTTCTCAAATAAGCCCTTCTAAAGGCAGGGGTGGTACTATGTTCCTGCAGACTCAGCTGCTCCAGAGGCTGAGGCAGGAGAACCACCTGCACCTAGGAGTTCAAGGCTAGCCTGGGCAGCACAGTGAAATCCTGTCTCAACAACTCCCTGTTTCCCTGCTGTGGGATTCCCATTCTCAGCTGCCAACACGACAGTTACTATTTCCCTCATTAAAACCAAGCTACCTTAGGCACTGGAGGGATGACTCAGTGGTTAAAAGTATGGGCTGCTGTTCCAGAGGACCCAGGTTCAATTCCCAGCACTCACATGGAGGCTCACTACCATCTATAACTCTAGTTCCAGGGGATCCAACACCCTCTTCTGGCTTCTGAGGGCAGTGCACGCACACAGTACACAAACATACATGTAGGCATAACATCTATGCATATAAAAATACTAATCAAAACAATGCAACTTTTGTCAGGTGGCATGACAAGTACTTGTCATACCAGTACTTCTGAGGAGGATCAGAAGTTCAAGGTCACCCTTGACATTTCAAGTTTCAGACCACACTAGGCTACATGAAACTGTCTCAAAAACTAGCCAGCCAGCAAGCCAACCAACCAAATACAACCAAAACTAAACAACAACTAAACCCAGAATAATGAGAACTGGAGAGATGCCTCCGGAGCTCAGTAGTCAGGAGCATTTGCCGCTTTGCAGGGAACTGAGGTTTGATTTCTAGCACCCAAATCAGGCACATCCCAATTAGTTCCTGGGCACATATATCAGTTCCTGGGCATCTACAGTCTTCTTCAGTCTCTAAGACCTTCATGCAAGTAGCACACATCATATAAAAGCAGACAGACAGACAGACAGACACACAGACACACACACACACACAAATAAATAAAAAAAAGATGGCTTTGGCCGGGCGGTGGTGGCCCACGCCTTTAATCCCAGCACTTGGGAGGCAGAGGCAGGTGGATTTCTGAGTTCGAGGCCAGCCTGGTCTACAGAGTGAGGTCCAGGACAGACAGGGCTACACAGAGAAACCCTGACTCGAAAAAAACAAAAACAACAACAACAAAAAAGATGGCCTAGTGGACAAAGCACTTGTGTGAGTGTGGGGATGGAAATTTGGATGTCTAGAACCTGTGTGAAGGTAGGTGGCCGTGGTAACAGGATTATATAATCCCTGTGCTGCGCAGTAAGACAGGAGGCGGAGAAGCCCTGGTAGCTCCCAGGCCACCCAGCCTAGTGCATACAGGAACAAACAACAGACTGTCTCAAACAAGGTAGAAGAGTCAGCAATATCTGGGGATGTCCTCTAACTTTCACAGTGTGACACATAGGCATGAGTGTGTACAGCACAGTACACACACACTGAAAGACAGACAAAACCTGATAATTTCACTGCTTTACTTACAAAATATACCCCAAATCTAACCATTCATCCCTCCTACCACCCTTTCCTTTTATGAGAGTACCGCGTTGTTATGATCTGGGGACACCTACAGCCTTCTTGTTACTCTGCCCAACTTCACCCTTGATTTGCAATCCAATTTCCACATGACAGTCATGTATGTGGCCTTTTTTTTTTTTTTTTTGTCTTTAGAAACAGGGTTTCTCTGTGTAGCCCTGGTGGCGCTGGAACTCACTCTGTAGACCAGGCTGGCCTTGAACTCAGAGATCCTCCTGCCTCTGTCTCCCTAGTGCTGGGATTAAAGGTATGTGCCACCATGCCTACCCCCTTTCAAATTTGAGAGCTGGGAATGCAGGCTAGCACTGTGTAGCATGTTGGATGCCCTGGCCTTCACCTCGAGCAGTAGCAGCAACAGCAGCAGTAGCACCACCACCAACAACACTAACAACACAATAATAACAGCAACCAAAACATGAACATGGAGCTAAAGACGGCTCAGCAGCTAAGACCTTCTGTGTATAGATCTTCCAGAGACCCCTTCACTCAATTCCCAGTACCCACGTAGGGATGGGAATTCACAACTGTCTGTAAACTTAAGCTCAAGTGGGACCTGAAACCTCTGGTCCCTGCACACATAACTAAAACCAAACTAAATATTTAAAAGAATAGCTTTGTATATTTAAAAAAAAAATCCTTCTATCAAACAGACTCCAGGCCAAACTGCTTATCCAGTCAGCAGAGGCCCACAGTGTACATCTCTGGCTAGTCCTCCTCCTTCCCTTCCCCTTACTTGCTCAGTTCCAGTTGATCACCTTCCTCCCTGTTCCTTAAAGGTTTCCTTCCCGTATGTTCCAGTGTGACACACCCAAGAGTTGAGTATGTAGACTATGACTGGCCAGGTGACTGCTGGTAGGTATGTCCTCAAAAGGCCTTATGGTTCGGGCTAGAAAAATGACTTGTTGTTAAGAGTACTGGCTGTTCTTCTAGTGGATCTGGGCTGGAGTTCCAGTACCCAGATGGTGGCTCACAACCATCTGTAAGTCCAGTCCCAGGGGACCTGATGCCCTCAGCTGGCTTCCACGGGTACCAAGAATGTACTCTGGGTAAAACACACTGTCACTAAAACAAAATCAAAAAACTCTATGGGGACCTCAGCCAGAGCTGAGGCCAGCTTTACTTACCATAGCAAAGAGGTTGTCATAGCCTTTGACCTTGGTAGGCACCTTGGAGAACTTCTGATCAAAAGCATCTGAGATGTTGTGAGCTGGGTCTGTGGAAATGATTAGAACACTCTCCCGTCCCTTAGACAGCTGGACCGCCAGGCTGCAGCTGCACAGAAGAAACATGGGAAGATGAGGAGTGAGGAGCTAGTTTCAGGTCACAGAAACCTAGATCAGCAGAGACCTTATGACCAGTGTATGAGTCCCAGTGAGATCAAGCCTTACTTAATCCTTGCAGAGATCACCACCTGACTCTTTGACTTGGACGGGACTGGTGTGCAACATTCAGTTGATTGACTTAGTCTCTGTGAATGTCTTGCTTCTGGTTTGTTTGTTTGTTTTTTTCACTTAGTGGCACAGTCCAGCTGTCCAGCAGGCACAGATTGCTCTCCCTCCCTCTACTTGTTCAGGACAATGTACTTCACAACGAACTGAGACACCATAATTACGTGCCCTTTCCACCTCCTTTTACTTCTTCCCTCTCTGGCATCAAATGGAGGTTCGTTGTACTAAGACAGCTCGCCTTAGTGTCGCTCCCGCTACTCTAAATTCCTGGGGAGTACTGTCCGGCCGACTGCGGAATTTAAATGTTCCTCTGCACACCTCACGCGCTGAATTCGCAAGACCCAAAGAGGGATAATCCAACTCAGGATGCTACGCTTGGATTCGGTCGGTATTTCCAGCGGGCTGCAGTAACTTCCAGAGAGAAACAACCCTGTAGACCCATGCTTAGCTCGCTCTGCCCAGATCGGGAAGAAAAAGCCGGTCCCTGTCCTCCCCTTCGTCCAGTGGTACATCCCACCCGTCCTCTTGGTCCCGCTAGAGCCTCCTTACCTGCAGGTGGTCTTACCAACGCCACCCTTGCCCCCGACAAAGATCCACTTAAGGCTACGCTGCTCAATGATATTGCTAAGCGTGGGTTCCAGCGGCTCCACATCAGGTGCATCCTCGAACTCTTCTGCTTCAACCCCCCACCCGGCCACCCCCGCCGCCATCTTGGACCCGGCTCACGTGATTAACCGGGGCGCACCACGTGCTAAACACCTACAGGGGAAATGAGTCTGCCACAATCCTGTGCAGGCCGGAAGCCTGACTTATTTTCCTCCTGCATTGACATCTAGGGATAGTTAGCGCGATATTTTCACCATTGTATGCGTCGAGGGCTCACCTTTGTGAACTCTTGTCTGTAGTTTTATAAGGATTCCCCTGTCTTGTGGATATATTGGTATGACCCACACTACTGCTCTTCACTGATTGGATCCTAAGTCTTGCGGTACTCTTTTCATTGGCTCAATCTTGTCTTACTTCCACTAGTCACGCTCAAGTCCCTGCAGGCGTCAACCTCTCCTTGGCAACCAGGCAAACATCCTGTCCAAGCTCTTTGAGTGAAGTTAGAGCAGAGGTATCTCTTGATTCCATAGGCTCAGTTCCCTGATGATCATTTCCCCCTTACTTGTTGTTTTGAATCTCAACATCTCTTCCGGTCCTCCAGTTACTCAGTTGGTTGTGAACCACATGGTTTCTGCCGTAAACCAATCACGAATGAACTGGTTATTTGGCTGAGGGTCGATTAAAAGCAAAAAAGATTCCATTTGTTGCAGAGGATGCAGAGTTTTTTCCTGTGTTCCCGAAACCCCCATGTTGGGCAGAAATGTTATCTGCTATAAGTCGTCCTTATAGAAAGAACTTTAATTTCCGAAACTCTTGTGCTTGGCGCTCTGCTTTCTCTCTGGGTGTGCTCCAAGTTCAGCAAATTTCAATTTTAATACGAGGGTCCTTAGTCCCTTCATGCAGTACGCAGTTCAAATCATTAAGTCTTAGGGACTCAGCCTAGAAATATGCTCGGCTTCATTTCAGTGCTCCAGCCTCTAAATACTAATTTCAGACAGTGTTTAGCTGCACGCAGCCAGCGGTATTCTTATTTCAAGATAAGAGATTAAATTTAGAGACACATGCCCAACCTGGAGATGCTTCCATTTCTAATAGGAGGTATCAAGTTTGATAGGCTTTGTAGACCTAGTTAGGGGCCACCCAAGTTCCCAAAATTCAATGAAAACAGTCCCCAAACAAGATCCGTTCATTAGAGTTCTGGTGGCCGACTGGGATTGTGCTCTCTCAGCCCTTAGAGGGGGCCTGGGTACCAGGCGATGGTCCCATTCTCGGGGAGCGTCTGTCTGCTTAACTAACTCGTGTCTGGAAGGATTAGGGATCCGAGGATCAGAAGGAAAGGGACCGGCTTCTAGGCTCCACCGACTGGTGGCCAGGTCGGAACCCTTTGGCTCCACCTAAGCTCCGCCCAGTCTGCGTTGGCTTCTGGGTTGAGACCTCTCTTCCCAGCATGCACTGCTCCAGACGAAGCCAGTCCCGCGCCAAGCGCGCGGTCTTAGAGCCTTTCCCGAAGTCCTTTGCGCGGCATCTGGCCACAAAATGGCTGCCCGAGGGAGACGGGCGGAGCCTCCGGGTCGGGAGGCGCCCGGCCCGGCGGGCAGCGGAAGGAACCGATGGGCTGAGTCGGGGCCGGGAACGTCACCCGAGAGTGGGGACGACGAGGTGTCGGGCTCAAGTCCGGTGTCCAGCGGCGTGAACTTGTTTGCCAACGATGGCAGCTTCCTGGAGCTGTTCAAGCGGAAGATGGAGGAGGAGCAGCGGCAGCGGCAGGAGGAGCCACCCCCGGGCCCGCAGCGACCCGATCCACCGGCCTCCGCCGCGGCGGGCCCAGGGAATCCGAAGAGGAAGGGCGGCCCAGGCCCCACGCTCAGCTTCGTAAGGAGCCGCGGGGGTGGGGGCGGGCACCAGGGCCCGCGTTGGCTGGGGGAGTCAGGTCCGGGAAAGGGCGTCAAGGTCCAAGGCAGTCCTCCGCCCGACTGCCTGGACGGTCCCGGTCGCTTGCTGAGGATCTTGAGCCCCGTATTCCGGATGAGAGGTGTTTCTGGGCGGGAATGGGAATCCCTAGATCTTACTCGCGGGACCTGAGAACCGGGAAAATGCGTTGGAAGGAGCGCTCTGGGGTTAGGGGATCCTAGATGCTAGGATTCCTGTTTGATTTGTACTCAGACTTTGAATAGTGAGGCCCACATATAACGTGGGGGGAAAGGAGGAGACACATTCGAGTCTGCTGTAATCGTTAGACTCGACTCAGACCACGGACTGTAGCCGGGCGTGGTGGTACACGCCTTGTATTACCAGCACTCCGGATGCAAGAAGAGGATTCGAAGAGACCTTGTCCCAGCTAAACAAAACCAACCAACGAACAACAAAAAGCAAACCACTGACTTTGTGGTTTTAGCAAGATCAATCGATTCCTTTCTGTATTATTTAACTAGTGTCCGTTTATTGAGCACCTTACAGTGTCTTTGGTAGAAAAGAATGTTGTTTGAAGTGTGGGTGGCGTACCCTGATTTTTTGTATTCTAATAATTGAGATTTTGATGTATTTCATGAAGTGGTCCTAGAAAAGTCAGTTAGTACAGACTCTTAAAGAACTAGACCAGAGGTTCTGTACTGGGAACAAGTCTCTTTATCCTTATGTATTTGGTAAAGTCTGTAGACATTTTGGTTGTTAAACTCTAAGATGAGATGCTAGTGTAAGATACTCTTCAGTATCTTATAATGCCTGAGATAACAAAGAATGCTGTAGCTGAAAATGTCAAGTATCATGTTGAGGAGCCTTGGGTTAAATAAATTGGATATATACTCTTTGTTAGTTTTGAGCTTGCTTTGTCTGTGATGTTAAGGCCTTGTAGTGGGGAGGAAGAAATGTTGGTTTGAGAATAAAAGACTGTGGGTCAAATCTTGGATCCAGTTCTGTGGTTTAGGGTAAGGCTTAAGTTTGTTTAGATCTTAAAAGGGTTTGTGAGCCGGCAAGGTGGCCCATACATGTAATCCTAGCACTGTGGTCCTTGAGGCAGGAGGATTGAAGAGTTTGAATTCAGCAAAGGTTACATTGTTGTTTCTAAAAACAACAACACTGTGTGTGTGTGTTTGTGTCTGTCGGTCTGTCTGTCCCTCCTGTGGTGTGTGGCTGTAATAGCTACTCAGGAGCTGAGAAAGGATCTGAAGTCCAGAATGAGTTCAGAGCCAGCCTGAGCAACTTAGTGAGACCTTGTCTCAAAAAAAGGAAATCTGGGGATTTAACTCAGTAGAAAGTTGCTGTGAATGCTGATGATCCTAGATTCCATCTGCAGTACTGCACAAAAGCCACTGGGGAGTAGTCCCAGCAGTCACTGCCATGTTGAAGGATAAGTATAGGATGATGTCTTCAAGGCCCCCAGTTAAGGGGAGAGGATGGGACGAGGGTGAAAACCCAGAGCCAGAGTGTTCTTAGAGGAAGTGGAAAGTGACAGACCTGGGTTGATATGACAGTCCAGAGCAGAGGCTGAAGCCTTTCCTGGAATGGGAGCAGCGGTGGGGTCACTGCCACTTCGATTTGTTCCTGAGTCACTATTGTAGTTATATTCCTAAAAAAGCCAGGCCAGATCAGGGTAGGATAACTAGGGGTGCTTTGTGGTTCAGGAAACTCCCACTGGCCTTGCATATCTGATCCTGAGTAGTGGTCTGTTGTTGGCAGCTTCTCCCAGAGACTTGTCTTTATTTCTGAAATGAGGTAATTACTACCTTCAGATAGGATAACTGTGATGATGAGATGACATGGTCCCAGCGCTCTGTGTGGTGTATAGGAGATGTCCCAGCCCTCTGTG